GAAACATATATTTTTTATTTTATTTTAACATTTATTTATACCTCGGTTTACGGACAACAAAACTTTTTATGAAGTCCCCACAAGCTTGTTGCTGAAAAAAATTGAAAATTATTTCAGGGATAATATTGTGTCAAACACTTTTTTCCATCTTTCTGGTAAGTTTTATTATCATTATTTTTTGAAAAATATATACAACCAGTGAAATTTTAACAGAGTTTAACTTTTAAATGCACCAATTTAGTTCACATGCCGGAGTGAGTTGAGATGACGTCTATATAAAGCAGCAATAAAACTTGAAATGGCCTGAGGCAAGAATTCAATAGAAAAGCTTCTTTTTTGAATTGAAGAAGCTGTCGTATTCTATTCCAGAGTCTGATTCGGCTGTTAAAAAAGCGCATTGCATCTATAATTATATTAAATTCAGTAGATCCAGACGCAGAGGTATAATTGATTAAATTCAAAAAATCGCTCCAATTGGTTGGATTGCTTCGACTATAATGGGTTCAGGTGCTGCATATTATTTTTAGGGCACATTTTTAACATATATAGCCGGAAAGAAAAGTAGATTTCTCCAGATTAATAATAATAATAACCCCCTTTCAATTATTTTCAATAAGTCACTTACAAAGCTTATGAATTTATAGCAGTACTGTATATACAAGTACATTACAGTATATTAACTTACAAATTCTTCTTTGAGCTTTTTCGCAGCGGCGTCTGGATCCAAGCCAGCGTCGAATTTCTCCATGACGCTCATGAGAAACTTCCTGAATGCAGACATTTTCATTACAGGGTTCATGGGTTCTATTGCTGACGACGCGGGGCCGGCGGGAGACTTGGGTTCCTTATTATGGGGTAAGATTTCCTCATCATCGCTATCGTCCAGGTGATGAGGGTAGGGCTCGGGTTCGATTTCGGGCTCTGATTTCGGCAAAGGACTGATCATCTCTCCGACGACAGTGATCAAGTCCATGGCCTTTCCTGCCATTCCTGCTGCTGTGGCAATGACACCCACAGCAGCCTCTGGGTTCGGGTTCGGGGCTGCATTCGTCGTCGTCATCATGCAGCACACCAGCATCAACGTCATCATCATAATGAGAAGAAGAAGAAAATGGTGAGGAGTCGCTGGACGGGCCAGTCTTGGCCTGCTGCCGGTGGCCCGTTTCAATTTTGGTCGGGAATCCTGGCCCATATGGCAATGCTTGGCGTTTCCGTCAAGTGACTGATGGAGACTATACGAGTTAGGTATTGCAAATTTAGCTGCTTGCAAAATTTAATTTAAGATTCAATTTGGAACATCAGAATGCTGACGATATGTGACACGCAGACAGTGACACCGATTCATCACAGGTTTGATTTCAAGACTAGACCACATTTTATGGCCTTAATTTCAAGAAAGAAATCAGAAAAGCATCCTCTCCCTGCTTTGATATGTTCACTTAGGGCTACCCTGTATATTTTCTCTCACACAGGTATCATAAGAAAATAAACAAGCACAAAACACAATCAAAAACACCAATCAGCTCATGATGAAACTTATTTTTCACAACAATATTTTCTTTCGTGATATGAATCTCAAATAATTTTAAGACTTGCACAAGAGATTTCTATTGCACTGCTACAAAAACTTGTGATGCAATAGTTATAGAATCAAGAAAAACGGCATTTTTTCATCCTTAACTTTTGAGTGGGACTATAGATCATCTACAAAAATTTTTACAAGAATTATTGTTGGAAATGCAAAATGTTTGGTGGGAAAGTAGTTATTCGGATCATTTTAGAATTCTCCTTCAAAAGCATGTAAAATTGCACCTTATGTTCCCTGAAAATCAATCNAAAAAAATTGAAAAATGGTTGTGGATTGTTTGGCTGAATGACTCATTCTTCAATAGTTTCTTCACCCACGAAGATTTCTTCGGTGTAGCAATCGATTGTCTCAGATTTGGTGACGTTTCCGGTAGTGACACTTGCAATGAACTGTAAAAAATATTATATCGTACTTCTGCCAGCATCAAAATAATGCAAATAAATCAATACGAATAAAAAACGTGACCAATTTCTGTCATCAAGGATGAGCATAAATGGGGACAGAACAAAATTAATACCACTATATAAAATAATTAATAAGTTGCTCATAATGGCCATCATCCTTTGAACAAAAATATTTAAAATAAAAAGAATTATTATTCAATCTGAAATATTTGAATAAAAAAAGATTGTTGTCTGGCTTGCTGTTTAATTCAAATTTGCGCATAACTATAGGACAAACTTTTTTTCGAAAACCCCTTGAATCTAGTAAGACAGCTATAAAAACATGGCAACTTTCGTTTAAATTTACTTTTCAAATGTGCATTGTGATTAAAAAAAGGTAAACAAAGTCATTCAACTGGACAACATTAAAAATAATTAAATTGAGCACCTGGGTACAACTTTTTTGTTCAATAAAATTGTTTGATCTTCAATTTCAACTTTTTGAGGGCTTTTTTCCCACAGCAGCAGTCCCATCAGTGCAAAAAAGGATCTAAAAGCAATTTAAGCAAAGTCCCTTCAAACATAAAGCAGCACATTATTTTTAAAGNTGTTCAATAAAATTGTTTGATCTTCAATTTCAACTTTTTGAGGGCTTTTTTCCCACAGCAGCAGTCCCATCAGTGCAAAAAAGGATCTAAAAGCAATTTAAGCAAAGTCCCTTCAAACATAAAGCAGCACATTATTTTTAAAGAACTTTCTGAATAATTAAATTGTTGGCCTCTCGCAATTAATGGGATGCGCATCAAGCACAGGAATAGTTTATTTTAGTCTTAAAATGTCACTTCAAAAGTGCAGGTGCGCATTTTATGCACAGCAGAAGGGGCACAGAATACTTTTGAAATTGGTTTGAGTATTATATTATACAGCTTAAATTATTCAGGGAAATTCCTACTGCTTGCTTTCTATAGTATATTTTTTATCTGTGTTATTCAGCCAAATAAAGTAGTTCAGTAATCCAAAACTCACAATGTCATCCATTCCCTGACATGCGTCTCTGGAAAGTGACATTTCTAAGCCTTCTTCGCCATCTATTTGCCTCTCCACTTCACAAGCTTCTGCTGCATCATCTGCAATTGACCTGAGGGAAATGCTTCCCTGGAAACCCTGAGCATCGTCCAGTTTCAGCGTAACTTGAGAGTCTTTGCAGTCTGCCCAGACTTCAGTCGAGTTTCCTACTTTGATTGTTGGGGATCCGTCTGGTGCTCTACGGAATCTTCTGTCTATTTTAATCAAGTACATTATTTCAACGTACTGTACTCGCATACATTTTCGCAAAAAAAAAATGTTTCTCTTCATTACCTTGGAACATTTCTCCATGCGACCCAAATGCTGAATCCAAGCTAAACACTTGCTCCACAATGAATGAATCCACGTTTTGAACGACTTGGAATTCCTTTCCAGTAATGAAGGACCTTTTTGGTCTTTTCATTTCCCGCGGGTTCATTGACTGCTGCTGATATGGCAGTGATGGTGGCATTGAAGGAGTGCGGTAGACAACCTGCTGATTATTCGGCCAATTCGGAGAAGCATAAAGTGGCACGTAATCGCCAGAATAAAGTGGTTCATATGGTGGCTGATAACTTGGAGCAGGCGAAGGAGCTGGAGCAGGTGCTGGGTAAGTTGGAGCTGGATAAGAAGCAACAGGGCCTGGGTAAGATGGGGCAGGGTAAGAAGCAACTGGGCCTGGATATGATGGAGCTGGATAAGTGGGAGCAGGAGCAGGATAAGATGGAGCAGGAGCAGGATAAGATGGAGCAGGAGCTGGATAAGATGGAGCAGGTGCAGGATAAGATGGAGCAGGTGCCGGATAAGATAGAGCAGGTGCAGGATAAGATGGCGCAGGTGCAGGATAAGATGGAGGAGGTGCAGGATAAGATGGCGCAGGAGCTGGATAAGTGGGAGTAGGGGCAGGGTAAGCAGGAGCTGGATAAGTGGGAGTAGGGGCAGTGTAAGCAGGAGCAGGGTAAGATGGCGCAGGAGCTGGATAAGTGGGAGTAGAGGCAGGGTAAGATGGAGCAGGTGCAGGATAAGATGGAGCAGGTGCAGGATAAGATGGAGCAGGTGCAGGATAAGATGGTGCAGGAGCTGGATAAGTGGGAGTAGGGGCAGTGTAAGCAGGAGCTGGGTAAGAGGGAGCAGGAGCTGGATAAGTGGGAGTAGGGGCAGGGTAAGAGGGAGCAGGATAAGATGGAGCAGGGTAAGATGGAGCAGGGTAAGATGGAGCAGGGTAAGATGGAGCAGGATAAGATTTTGCGTAAGTCTTTGGTGGTGGTACATAAGAACTGGCATATCCCTTTTCTTTCTGATATTCTCCATAAGTCGGCTGAGCTCCATAAGAATCTCTGCTGGTCTTATACTGCGATGGTTGACCATATCCATCATCTGATGATCCATATGCCACAGTGTTGCCAGAGTAACGCTGCTCATATTCATTCAATGGAATAAGCGTTTTGAAGTAATCCAAATACTTTCCGTATCCACTTTTTGAGTTTTCGTACAATTTCACTCTGTTACACAAAAAGAAAAAAAACGAAAGATTATGCTTTTTTCACAATATTTGACAGGAGAATTTTCTCTGCTGCTGCTGATGGTGAGGATTAAACTCACGGCTTGCAGGCACCATAATATCGGGAACAGGTGCCATAGCAGACATCGACTTTACACCTGATGATCACATTGTCCGAGTGTGGGAACCTGAAAGCCTTCAAATTCGCAGCCTTCACTATGGTGTGGCTATAGTCATATGCCACAGTGTAGTCAGACATGACCCCAACATTCACAAAGTTGCCAATCAGCTTTGGCCTTGTTGAGCAGTCATAGTTTGTCATGTCTATGCTTCTTGGTGCACTGTACTTTGGTCCGTATCCAAAGTACTTCATGTACTTCCTGACGATTCAGCAAAAATGTGTTTTGTCAGTAACATTTGTTTACTGAAAAATGATCCCAAATGAGTCATTCACGACCCTTAAGGAATTTCTGGGCAAAATTATGTATTTTTGATGCATCTGATTTTGGTACAGCAGTTGGGCCTTGGTAATGGTAACTCAAACCTACAATAGTCAAATACTGTATTTGCTCTAATAAACGCCCCAGCATTTATTTGCAATTTCAAATTTCCCCCAGCCCTTAATAGAGACTGGCATCTATTAGAAACTGGCAATTATTTCCAACGATTGCAACTGTGGAATAATATTAAATTAAAACAGGGGGAACACAAGGGAAAATATGGAAAAACTTGTTTTTTATCATTCATTTTTGGAAATGAAAGAGAAATGGAAGAGGAAATTCTGAAGGGAGAAGAATTTCATGGTTGATATTTTAGGACTAGATTGTAGAAAGGATTATTAGGATTAAACAATTACCAAAATTTTCAGAATTTTTTCACCCCATGTTCTTTGACCTGTCCACTAACAGAGGCCAGCTACTATTCCCTGGAACTCCCTGTGAGACCTGGTATTTATTATAGACTGGCATCTGTTGGAGACTCCGCATTTATTGGAAAATTTACAGTTCCTTATTTCTGCATGACAATTTTTTTTCAAGTCCATCTTCGGATTCCTTTAGAAACAACGCATTCCATCAAAACTTTGCTACCTGAAACCTTTATCATAATGCAATTTTCTGCTTGACGCATTGTGCCTGTTATTTTATGTATTGCAGGAAACAAATTGAACATAAATGAAAATGTAACATGATGTGTTTTGGAAGGAATTGAAGGAATAATGGGGAAAATGAAGCCTTGCCTCCATCTCAAGCCTCTTATTGTCATCAACTCATTCAAGAAGCAATTCATATAATTGAATTTTATCAGAAGTAATTTTATAGGATTTTGCTAATTGCAAGTTCCTGCAAATCTCTTTTGTTTCCTCATTGAAATTGAGTAATATGATAGAGTTTTGCTAATTGCAAGTCCCTGAAAATCTCTTTTTTTTCCTCGTTGAAATTGCTTGTTCCCCAAACTCAAGGGAAAGAACATATAAATGATTTAGCTTAGCTTAGAAATTCAGGATTTCAAGTTTTGCTGGAATTGCCAATAATTGGTGTATGCTAAATAAAAGTTGAAAATTCACATACGCTGTCAACGGAGGTCCTTCCACAGCCCAGCATTTGGCAACCCTCATGTCGTATTCCTTGGAGTAACCCCTCAATTTCAGCACCAAAGTCAGGAGTGATCCGATTTTGATCGGCCCGTACAAGTCAGGTCCGTAGGGCGAATCTCCTCTCTTGACCTCGACACTCAACTTTGATTTCGCTGAAAGCCCCTGGAATGAACCAAGAAAGAATCATCACTTGTCTTCCTCTTGTACAAATTCCAATTCGATTCCAGGGGAATTAGGGCAGAATACCTAATCTCAACTGCTTCCGTTCGAATATAGCAGCTGAGAGCAAAACGCTCGAGCGCGGAACGCATTTATATACATTTTTCATGACTCTCGTCCAGGCAGAAAAAAACCCTTTTGGCAAGATCTTCACTTCTCAGCAAATAAAGAATGAATGAAAACCATGTATATGTATGTATACAAGGGAAAGAACATCTAGCTTTTTTAATTGAACTTAGTGCTGCTCTTTGAAGTTGATTTTTCATTCAAGAAAGGCGCAGTCGTTGGATTTATTTTAGTTTCTGAGGAACGAGTTTCGTCGCCTCTGACAACGATAGCACATCTATTATTTTACACGAAACCGGAAAACGCTGAACACAAATGCCAAGGAAAAAAAATCCCGATTTCGAATCGTTCGTGGATCATGGCTTTATGCGTTGTTTAGGTCGTGCTCGTGACTCGTGAGTGAAAAGGGATTATCGCAGAAGTTCTGCAAGTCACCTCAAAACAGCCGAAGATGATGATGGTGAGACGAAATCTGATTTTACAAATTTTAAATTGCCTTGGCGATGATCACTTCAACAGTCTTATTTTCAGAAGATGCCATAAAATAAAATAAATGTTTCGCAAAACTTATGTGATATACACATCATGCAGAGTATGATATCACAGAGGAGTATTCGATTTTGATGGGTTCATTTTTCACCTACTTAAAATCGGCGAACTTTGACAACCTTCTTTGCATTTGCAATTAAACCCTGTGGAACCTGACCAATTCTCCAGCAGCCAGAATAATGGTAGCATATTCGCCCACTAAACACAAAAATAAACTTCATCATATGATCTATAAATTCTTGATCATTGAAGAAATCTGCATATAAAATAAGTTACTTCCAAAACTAGGTATAATCTAAATTACCATGTTTTTTTGCAAATTACTTCATAAGAACATTTATGATTGACATGCTTTCAATGTGGATAACTCTCAAGATTGAAGATCAAATCCATTATTGCCAATGATTTGACAAAGTCCATTTCCACATAAAGCTTTGCTGAGATGTTCCATGAAAAAGGAACATTTTCTTTTTCATGTATATTTCCCAGAATACTAGTTCTCTCTGGAATTTCCAATTATTGGTCCAGCCATATGTACATCCACCAGATAAGACTCATGAAGACAGGTTTGGAGAACCTTTTGATGCTTGGCAGACAAGTTCTCAAAACAGCATGTGCTCAACACTGGGCTGCTGTTCAGAACATTTAGATTTGATCCTGATTTCAACAAAATTTCAATCATTTTCATTTCAGTAATTTTTCTGTATTGAAATACTGTAGATCCAAAATGTACCATTAGGATCAAATATAAGCCTCACCTAAACTTCTTAAACTTCTAAGAATGTATACCCATCTCTGACACATTTTACCCCTCTCTTGTTTGACAAAATGGTGTGCATGGTACTCAAGTAAATATATCATATGACTTTTGAAAAACCTCTTGTCTGACCCCTTTATATTGCTTTTAATCAATGTTCCCCAACCTCTTTGTGCACAGACTGGCAAAAAAAAAATGCAGGCTGTCATATTTCTAAAACATCTTCTGCAGACTGGCAAATTTTGATACAATTTTTGCAGACTAAAATTTTTTCATTTGAATGACTTTACGGCAGACATTTAAAAATTTTCTGCGTTTTCTTCCCAGAAAAAAACACTCAAGAAGCAATGGAGCAACTGCAGTGGAATGCCTTGAAAAAGTTAGAAAGGTTTCTCAGAATGGGAAATTAAAATAATTTACTTCAGCCAGAAAAATTTGCCTGAAATGTGTAATTAGGGAAACAGAAGACAACTTTCATTTCTCATATAATAATTTCAATGGCCATTGTCTTTCCAACATTTTGGATAAAGAGAACAGACTTCATTGCTACTTTTGATCAATTGATTAGATTTAGGAAAATTTCCCAGGGACCATCAAAAAATCAACTTCTGTGGATTGGTGCCAGTCCACGGACTACAGGTTGGGGAATGTACAGCATCAAAAAACATATCTTGAGGGAAATTTAGGAAATACGGTTGAACCTTGATAACTCAAACCTCTCTAAGTCAAATACCCCTCTAAGTTGAATTTTTTCAGGTCCTGTCTGAATTCCCTTAGAATTAATGCATTAAAAACCTCTCTAAGTCAAAGGCATTTCCCCTCAAACCTTCAGCCTAAGTTGAATTTTCTGTGGCCTGTTGGTCTTTATTCTCTTGAAACAAGAAAGAAAAAAAGAGATACAAATAGAAATTGATTTGTTTTAAAAGGAGGTGATGAGAGACTTAATTTGCCAAATGAACCCTGCCTCCAAGTTCAGGATTCTTTCAATAACTCCTTTAAGAAGTAATTTCAGCCTCAGAATATCACAATTTACAATTTTGAGCAATTTTTCTATGTTTCCCGGAACAAAAGGGTTTTGTATTGTAGCTCAATTCAAAACCTCCATATAATAAGTCAAATTTGTTTGCTGGTCCCTTGAAATTTGACTTAGAGACTTAGGTTCAACTGTAATAAGAAGAGTGAAAATAATGAGCATAAAGACAAAAAATAATAATAAATAAAAGGATAAATG